AATTAAATGAAATCAGGATTTGTTATTCTCAGTCTTTTTGGTAATAGCCAGTCTAGCTGGGGTGAAATGATATCTCAGTGTGGTTTTGAACAATGCTGGAAAGGATGTGGAGAAAAGGGAACTCTTCTACACTTTTAATGGGACTGTAAATCGGTATAGCCATTATGGAAAACATCATGGAAGTTTCTCAGACAACTACAGATAGAACTAGCATACGATCCAGCAATCTTACTGCTGGGTATATACCCAGAGGAATGGAAATCATCATATTGAAGGGAAACCTGCACTCCCATATTTATTGCAGCTCTATTTACAGTAGCCAAGATATGGAACCAAACTAAACATCTATCAACAGACGACTGGATAAGGAAAATGTGGTATATATACACAATGGAATACTACTCAGCCATAGAAAAGAATGAAATTTTGCCATTTGCAGCAACATGGAAGAGCTTGGAGAAAATGATGTTCAGTGAGATAAACCAGGCACAGAAAGAGAAATACTGCATGTCCTCACCCCTGAGTGGGAGCTAAGAAACAAAGAAAGAAAGAAAGAAAGAAAGACCATAATAAAACATTGAACTTTCAGGAGGGAACAGACCTATAGTTACTAGAGGTGGGAAATGGGGAGGGGGCGGTGGGATAGGGAGTGATTGGGAAAGGGACACAAAAAGTAATTATGGTTTGTAATGATGAATATGCTAATAATATTGATTTGATTATCACATACTGTACATAAATACTAATAGTCAACTCTGTACCCCATTAATATGTATAAATAAAAATAAAAAAAGAAAATCAGGAAAACTAGTCTTACAGGCAAAGGGTGACTACAATTTTGGGTTTGTTGCATTTAAAATGATAGTAAGACTTCCAAGTGCAATCGACTTCTGGATATGTGATACTGAATGAAGGTGATTATTTGAAATTGTTGGAGTAGATGAGGTTCCTAAAGGATGAAATTTGAAGACCGAAAAATATAATGTTAAGGACAGAACTTTGAAATCCTTAGTTAGGAAGTGGAAGAGGAAAATAGAGCTGGGGAATAACAGAAATAACTTGTCAGAGGTGGACAATCAACAACGGGGCTTTCTGCAGGTGGAAAGTGCAGATAGCCTTGCCTTGTTCCTAGAACTTACTTGTTCCTAAACTTAAAAGGGGAGAGGACAGTCGTTGATCATTAAGTATGATGTCAGGTGTAGGTTTTTTATTGGTGCCATTTCTAAGGTTGAGGAAGTACCCTTCTACCACTAGCTTACTGAGAGACTACTATGAATGAATGTTTTCAAAAATTTGTTTGCATTTATTGAGATTAATGTCATATAGTTTTTCTTTTTTAGACTTTTGATATGATAAATTGTACTGATTGATTTTCTAATGTTGAAACAACTCTGAGTGGTTGTAATATATAGTCCTTTTTTATATATTGCTGGGTTCTATTTTCTAAGAAATATTTCTATTCTATTTTTAAGAAAATCTGCATGAGATTTTTCCATCAGAGATACTGATCTGTAATTTTTTTGTAATGTCATTGACTTTGGTATCAGGGTAATGCTGGTCAAAAAAGTGAGTTGGGAAGTGATCTCTCCTCTTTTTCCTCCTAGAAGTGTTTGTCAGGAACTGTTATCACCTATTCCTTAAATATTTGGTAAAATTTCAAGTGAAAGCATCTTGGCCTAGAATTTTCTTTTTAGGAAGGTTTTTATCAATAAGTAGATTATAGGGCTATTCACACTATCTCTGTTTTCCTGCATGAGTTTTGCTGCTTCATGTCTTTCCAGGACTTTGTTTCTCATGTAAATTATCCAATTTTTTTTGCATCGAGGTGTGCATAATATCATTAACTTTTTAATGTGTGTAGGATCTATTGTGATGTTTCTTGATTTAATTTACATCTTTTTTTTTATTTTTCCCATCTGCTCTTCATTTAATTTTTATCTTTTCCTGCTTCCTTTCAGATTGAGTATTTTTTATAATTCCATAAAGAAAGTATTTTTTAGGATAGAAAGAATACAGAATAGGAGCTCTCCTGTATCATAAATGAAAATCTCTCAATAGAGTGAGGTGTGAGGTCATAGCTGAGAGTGGGGAAATGTTGGCATCTTGTATAGAGAAAGTTTAGAATATTTGTTTTAGAAAGACTCTTGGGAAAACAAGAGATTAGAATGTGGATTTCCAAGCATTAGTGAAGGCCCAGCTAAAATAAATATGTAAATAATAATACTATTTGGATAGCTCAGGCATACTGTGATCAAATCTGAAGATATATCTCCTACATTGGCCTTAAAAATGGGAAAATATGGGAAAATGTGAAAAAACTGTAATTGAATTACAGTGATGGTTAGTTTTAATAAGATTCAACCATATTTTCCCTCACTAAAGTTGAAGACTTCTTTTAGACAGTCACATTTTTCCAGGAGTCCAGAAGTTTGAAATAATTGGAAGCTGTCTTTTCTAAATATTAAACATTCAGTGGTTTACACAGGGAAGATGAGCCCAAGGGATCTTCCGTGAGCTGAGTGAAGTTTCTGCCATTTTCTCATAGCTAAATTATCTGAAAAGCCAGAAGAAGGTGGAATAGCTGGAAGGAGTTGGTAGTGTTGAGTGGAAATAGAATGAGTGGAAATAGAATGAGTGGAAAATTGGCAGGGCAGCTGGATATTTTCTGGAACTAATGGTTTTGGAAACATATTTGCAAGACTAGGATAATTATTCTACTCTTTGAACTGATTACAATTTGTATGGTATTCTTTTTGTTTGTACAAACTGTGATTGCTTGAATCATGTAGTGAAATATGAGTTCAGTATAAAGGCACAGTTAGTTAACCTAAATCCCTCTTTGTCCATAAACATTGTTAGTTCGTTTACATATTGACAATCTGTGTGATGAAAATGGGAAAATTACGGTATCATAGTATTTCATTTAAATTGCTTTTAGAATTACAATCTGGTTCTCAGAATAAATTTCTGACAGATTCCAACTTCAGCAGTAGAAAGTAACATTTTATGTGAAAAACTGATGTAGCTAGTTTCTGTAGACAGAGAAAAATAAAAAATAATTAACTGACCCATCCTATTCCAGCAGTCATCACTACAGTGTAGGACAGTGAAGAAAAATGCAGACTGGGATCAGACTGCCAGGGTTTGAGGACTGCCTTTACAGTTTACCAGCTGTTTACCCCTGGTACAATTGCACTTTGTGCTTCAGTGTCTCTATCTATAAAATGAGAAAATAGTTTTATCTCATAAATTTCATATGGTGGCTAAAAATGTTAATACATGTAACACGCTTAAACAGAGCCTGGTATATAGAATGTACTCATAAGCTGTAGTTATTGCCACCACGGTGAAGAAAGGTTAGTTAGACTTTGTGCATTGCCAATAATTTGGTGTGTTAACATATTAAAAAATATCTAGAGCTGGTGCTCTGGATGTCAAATTTACACACTCTTGATAATTACCTTAAACAGGTACTAGGAATAAAAATGCAAAATGCCATCCATTTGAGTGTGACTTTTATAGACAGTTTAAGGGTTTTACTTGTAGATTGTATTTTATCTGTTAAGCATAGCCATTGATTCTTTAAATACAATTTTAATGTAAGTAAAAGTAATTATAATTATGTTTCAGCATGTATATTCCTAATCAACTATAATTTTTGAAAAATAAAATATCAGGTACTGAAATAACAGTATAATTAAAGCAAATTTTGTGCCTGTTATAAATGATGAAAATTAACAGCATGATTTTGATAACTCATTATAGTAAGCTAACAGTAAAAGACATAGGAAAATATTTTTGGGGAAAAACAAACTATATTGCAAAAGAGGGAAAGGAATTAGCACTGAGTGGGCACTAACCATGGTAGGCTGTCCCCGCCTCCCTCTATGAACGATTGCATGTATTTATTTTTAAAAGTCTACAAAATATGGGGCCGGCCCGGTGGCGCACTGCGCTAGTGTGCCACTTGGGAAGCGCGGAGGCGCTCCCGCCGAGGGTTCGGATCCCACATACAGACCGGTTCCCGCTCACTCGCTGAGCGAGGCGCGGGGGCAACACCGTGGGTTGCAATCCCGTTGCCGGTCCCGGTCCGGTACGGGGGCTACACTGAGGGTTGCGATCCGTTGCCGGACACGGAAAAAAAAAAGACAAAAAAAAAAAAAAAAGTCCACAAAATAGGTATATATTATTCCCATTTTAGTAATGTTAAAACTAAAGCTCACATTTTGACTTCAACCCTTCTTCAAGGCTGTTTAAGGGTACAGCAGGGGTCAGATCCTAGTCATTTGATTTCAAAACCCATGATGTCTCTATTGTAGTTGTCTGCCTCCCAGAAGTGATATGTATACCATTGAACAAGCTTAGTACAAAATCATGGCTGACCCACAAAAACAAAACTTACCTAATTTTTCAATATCTTGTAATTTGGCTAGTTTCATTTCTTTGCATATTTTCCCATTGCATTTCATTTTAGTAAGCATGTGCCATTAAAGCTCACATTGAAACAACTAATAGCCCCCCATGGGTCTCTTTGCTTTTGTGAATGGCGAAGGTAAGTTCAACCAGGTTTAATAGTGGAAAGAATGTTAACCTTGGGACTGGTTCTGGCTTTGCCGATAAGTAGTTATTTTACTTTGGAGTAAGACATTTCACAGAGCTGATATCCCTCTTCTCATTTGTGCGATGAAGGAAAAGGACTCAATGATCTTGACTGGTCATTCATTCTATCTCTTTTAATGTTCTATGATATTATCACTTTGTACTGCCTTTTCCTGAAGGGCTAGAAGTTCAAATATGGACCAGTTTCCTAGGGAACTGATTCCCTACTTGGAATACTCCAACCCTTTGGAAATTCCAAGCATCGATAAAATGACTCTTAGATAAAGGATTTTGTAATAAGCTAACCCAGAACTGGTTTTTTAAGTTTCTATAAATTTTCTTAAATTCTTTTTATTCTGTGCTTAGAATATCCTGATTTTTCTTTTCCATATTTTCCACAGGACTATTTTACAAATGCAAATAGAGAGTTGAAAAAAGATGCTCAGCAAGATTACCACCTCGAATACGCCATGGAAAATAGTACACACACAATAATCGAATTTACCAGAGAACTGCATACATGTGACATAAATGACAAGACTATAACGGTAAGGAGTCTATGAGTGAAGGTATGCATGAATACATTGTATATTTACACTGTGAAACACTACAGAATAAAGGGAACAAGTATTTAAAACTAATCATTGACAATAAAGTCACATAGTCTTTTTTGGAATATCTTAAAAATCTCTTTAGAAGCCCCCCCCCCACACAAAAAATCTAAGACTATAAATTTCAATAAAGACAATTTTTGTGTAAAATTAAAATTTTTGAAGAGCTCTTTAAAATTTATAAGATTTTACCTATGAATGGATTTTAGCTTCTTCTCTATAAAGTTTGAAAGTAGACAACAGATAAACATTGGAAGAAATCTATTACACAAGAGAATATTAGGATATAATTCATTTGATTAATAACTGATTCATCTTTGTAAATTTCTAAAAATCAAGATGAATAGTGTCTGATTATAATTGCCTATTGACATATGATACAAGATTACTTATTTTCAGACTTCATGCAAAAATTAATATCTTCCTGCATATGTAAACTAAATATTCAGAGGCTATATAATTCATGTGTTACTTTGGAACATCCATGAATTGCTTGGGACAATTTTATTTAATATAGAACAATATAATTATCTTTTATATTTTATGTAAATCAAAGCTTTAACAATGAGAATGTAAAAAATCTGAAGCAGTCCTGACTAACATTTAGCATAAAGAGTAAAGAGGAAGAAAAAAACACATGCAAAGACATGGATCACTTCTTATATAATATGCAGTGCAACTATGTTTTAATTGGAATGATAATTATAGTCATTTGACTTATTAAGATAGAATAGAGCAAAAAGAACATTTAAAATACATAGCTTTTGCTTTATTGTTTATTTTCAAAGTTCTTATTATAAAGTTCTGGCAAAACACTTTTATCTGCGGGAGGATTTATATCCCAGCAAACCTTCCCTGCCCCACAACCCTTTAGGCAATCTCTCTGGTTGCTCAGTGGGAGCCAGTTTCATTTCATAGTACTTTCCCTAGTTGGGCTACCCCACTCCCTTGGAAATTCCTAGGATTCATAAAATGACTGTAGATCATAACAAGAATACAGCTGACCCTTGAACAACATAAGGGGATAGGGGCACTGACTTTCTCCACAGCTGAAAAATCCTTGTATAACTTTTGACTCTCCCAAAACTTAAGTAGTAATAGCCTACTTTTGACTGGAAGCTTTATTGATAACATAAACAGTCGACTATTTCTATATTTGTATTATCTTTCAATTCTTTTTTTCCATGAACTTCTTGAAGTACCCTCATATTAATACTGTATTCTTCAATAAAGTGACCTAGAGAAAAGAAAATGTTATTAAGAAAATTGTAAGGAAGAGAAAATACACTTACAGTACTGTACTGTGTTTATCAATACTGTAAGTTTTCTTATTGAAGGAAATCCACCTGTAAGTAGACTTGTGCACTTCAAACCCGTGTTGTCCAAAGATCAACTATATTTGCTTGGTAACTACTAGTTGCTAGTTTAAAGTTTTGGTATGACAATGATTTACTGTTGTCAAATTTGTTAAAGCATAATTACTAAATTAATTGTCCTTCGCTGCATTTTGGAACACATAATCTTGAGTGCTGAGACAGATGATTCCTTCCAAAAGGTACCTGGTGTAATTTGGATCCTTAAAGACTTAATCAAATTTACACAATTCATGTTAGAGACCATGTTGAGAACTCCAAATGTCATTATTCTCTTTTCTTCACTTCTGTATCTCGCTTTAAATAGAGTTCTTTAAGCTCAACTCAGTGGTAAGGAAAGTGCTCTCATGAGACATAATCATGCCCATGTCTGATCACCAGGACAGCACTGTGAGAGTGATCTGGGCCTACCACCATGAAGATGTGGGAGAAGCCGGTCCCAAGTACCATGACTCCAATCGGGGAACCAAGAGTCTCCGGTTATTGAATCCTGAGAAAACCAATGTGTTGTCTACAGCCTTACCATACTTTGACCTAGTAAATCGGGACGTAAGTGTTTTTAGGTATTATGATTGTAGGGATGGGTTTATTGAAAGTGTATAAGAAAGTTTTTTTCTTACATTATTGTATTTAATAACATGTGAAGAGAATGTGACTGTGTCTTGCTCTCATTTTTATTAAGACAGGTCCCCATCCCAAAAAAAGGTACAACATATTGGTGCCAAATGTTTAAGATTCCTGTGTTCCGGGAGAAGCATCATGTGATAAAGGTACGTGACTCACTCACAGACTAAACTTACTTTGTACGAATAAAGGAAGAAATTGATGTCCTTAAAAACAGTAAAAAAGGTAGAAATGATTTTTAATTGTATGAAAGTTACTTAAGAAAAAACTGACTTTATCCTACACACTATTTTAAAAGTCTGGAAGCTTGAATTGTGGCTAGTATTTTGGTTATATCCTAATATTACATGTCAAAGATAAAAGTTTTGGGATACAACCGAACACCTCTAGTTATTTCTTTTTTTTTTTTTTTTGTCTTTTTCCGTGTCCGGCAACGGATCGCAACCCTCAGTGTTGCCCCCGTACCGGACCGGGACCGGCAACGGGATCGCAACCCTCGGTGTTGCTCCCGCGCCTCGCTCAGCCAGTGAGTGGGAACCGGTCTGTATGTGGGATCCGAACCCTCGGGCGGGAGCGCCGCCGCGCTTCCCAAGCGGCGCACTATAGCAGTGCGCCACCGGGCCGGCCCTCTAGTTATTTCTTTAGGTAACACTTCTACAATTGGAATTTCTGGAATTGCAATTAATTTATTCTTAAAATTTTTTTATGAAAAAGGTTTTTTTATTGAAACAATTGATTATACATATTTATGGAGTACAGAATTGACTATCAGTATCTGTGTACAGTATGGAATTTCAATTTAAAATAATGTGTTTATATATTAATAAATTATATCCAGGAAGGTTACATTTCCCACCAATAATGTTTGAGGATATCTGCTTCATTGGAAATATTGGATATTGTCATTCAAAATCATTGTTACAGTATTTTTTTGAAAATAGAAAAAGAAAGAATATTAGTGAATTTCTACAGAATTAAATAATACAGAATTGTGTAATAAATAAACCCAGTTTGCCTGTGGCACACAATTCCTTTCCACCCACCTGGGATGGCCTCCCAAAACTTTTGCATCTAATTAGTGAATGAACAAGTATTTTTAAAAAGTTACAGGTCCTTGGCTCTGTGCTAGTAATTATTAGCAGTTCCAAGGGCTGAAGATGTGATCTACACTCTCAAAGAACTTACTGTGAGATTGAAAGAGACATGGCCAAGACACAAGAAAGAATAAGGTAGAATTAAATGGTGCATGTGAAATACTGAAAACATTCAGAAGGCCAGACATTGCTGCCTTTCTCTTAGCCCTCAGACTATGTAATGAAGCAGTGTGGATGTGAGAAAGGAGCAAATTTCTAGACTCTGGAATCTAGAGGGAAATGCGTGGGTTTGAAACACAGGTCCACCCTTTAATTAACTGTGTGCCTTCAGGTAAATCACTCTGGGGTAATGCTGTAACCTTTGGTTTCCTCATCTGTAAAAGGAGGACATAGTACTTTCCCTACCAACCACAAAGCATTTTAGCAGAGATGGAAAACACTGAGGACATTCTATAAAGTGACTTAAATTTGTTAATTTCTAATATATTTGTCCAGTTACACAAATCTGCTTTTTGTTTACAAAATGATTCAAAACTTCATAGAGAGGCAAAAGGGGTGGGTTGAGGGAATGTTTATAGAGTTAATGTGTATTCCTAAATATTTATAGGATATTTTTGCAAACAGAGGACTTACCGACAATATGACTACAGATGAATCATTTACTTCTGTGTAGGACGTTAGTTTCTACTTTGTGCATATGAAAAGGGAATGAAAATTCTAATCATATATACTTAATACAGTGCCTAACTCCTTCCTCATACCGGTGAAAAGTCTTTCTCAGACAAAAAGAATGTTATATTTATATATACGTATTGTGTGTAATATATTACTGTGTGTTATTTGCAGCAAATTTAATTGGGACCTGGATTAAGGGACAAGAAATGGGTTCAGAAATGAAAAGAAATGCTTCACAAAATAGTTTCTTTATTATTTTTTCAGAAAAAAATAATTGATAGAGTGTAAAGTCCTTAACCACTTATATTAATGCATTTCTGTTATTGTTATTATTAATGCTAATAATAGAATTGAATGAAATAAAAATAATTGTCTACATTTAAGGGGGGTCAGTATATGTTCCAACCTTCTGTGTAGGATATTTGCTTGGTACTTCATCTAAGAATTGTTAGCTAGCTTTTCTATCACAAGCATAGCATAGTAATACTCAGATAAGTGGGCATAGAATTAAGTACTTCTGGGACCATATTGCTGTCCTAACTAGGCATTTGTATCAAGAGGGACCTTGGTGACATGAAGGGCTTTGGGAGCTTTTTTTTCCAACATGTAGAAGTCTACCAGACAACAAAAGTTCTTTACCTTGAGCAACAGGGGATTTGAAGGAGATACCGTAAGTCAGAGAAGAGTTCTCATGCAAACTTTTGTTGTTGCAGGGGACAGAGATTTGGTGGCTACAATTTAAAATTCTGTTATTATTGAAGAATAACACTTATAGGATAGATTCCTGATCTTGTTAAACCCTAAAACATTTTAAAGTTTATTAAGTATTATGAAACATATTCCTTGAAAATGTACTCAAACAGGATAATATACCAAAAAGGAAAAAAAAAAGAAGCTCTACTGAAAAAATAAATTTTAAATATTTAGGTTATATAAAATATTTTGAGGCAGTCTTTCAAAAATGGTTTTAATTTGCAACTTATTCCAGGTTATAATAAAATTTTAATACATTTTTGAAGTAGAATTCATAGATCTAGGACTTGTCTTAGGAAATGACCTAATTTCCATTCTCTTTTCCATAGCAGAGATGATTTCCAATAATTTACAAAAAGTATATATTGTTTTCATAGAATCAAAGACTACTGTTTGAAAAGCCATCTGATTAAGGGCTTCTTCTTATTCCTTATTTTATGTCCCATAAATCACTGTATCAAAAAGCCTCAGTTCTTCTCAGATACAAACAAAAAGTACTTCCATAGAAAAGAGAAAATTGCTTTCATATTGTATTATGAGGTGTGTCATTTGCAGTGAGTTTTAAGAATACTGATTACAGTAGTATTGTGAAGAATCAGTTTCACTGTCTGGACTCTAATTCAAACAAAAAAATAGTTCGTATTTGAAGTTTAAATGTTGATAATATACCTTTTTTTGTAGTTGTAATAACTGTGAAACTAAGCAGATAAAATATATCTGTGTTTGATCATAAAATATATTTAATGGGAATGACTAAATTCAAAAATATTAATTATATTTTTTATTTAAAGTTTAATAATATAAAAATTGTTTACTAGTAAAATTATAAAATAATAAAGTAAATTTCTTAAATTACTAAAGTTATAAAATAACAAACATAATGTCATCTGCAGGAAAGATGATATTAATAAAAATTATTGGTGGTTCCAGTTTTCTTGTAATTCCAATTTATTAATTTGTATTTTGACTCTTGTTTTTTAACTTTTTTTTTTTCAGTTATGAATATTCACGGGTACAGAACAAATTGTCACCACTTGTGCCTAAGATGTGATAGCTAGATCCACACTGGCAGCATGTCCATTACCACAAATTGTGATTATACCCCCTGTCCACCACCCAGTTATCCCCCCAATTATCCCTGACCTCCCTCCCCATCCCCCTTTCCCCCGCTCCACTTTGCATCCCTAGGTATGCTCTCTACCTCTGCAAGTCCAACGCACCACTGTGGTCTTTCTTTCCTTCCTTCTATCTCTCTTAGCTCCCACTTATGAGTGAGCTCATGTGGTATTTATCCCTCTGTGCTTTGCTTATTTCACTCAACCTAAGTTTCTCCAAGCTCATCCATGGTGTTGCAAATGGGAGAATTTCATTGTTTTTTATGGGAGAGTAGTAGTCCATGATGTATATATACAGCATTTTCCTTATCCAGTCGTCCATCAATGGACATTTAGTTTGGTTCCGTATCTTGGCTCTTGTGAATAGAGCTGTGATGAACATGGAAGTGCAGGTATCCCTTCAACATGATGATTTCCATTCCTCGGGGTGTATACCCAGAAGTGGGATTGCTGGATTGTATGGAAGATCTATCTGTAGTTGTTTAAGAAACCTCCATACTGTTCTCCATAGTGGTTGTACTTATTTACAGTCCCACCATCAGTGTAGGAGTGTTCCCTTCTCTCCACATCCTCACCAGCATTTGTTATTCTCTGTCTTTTTGATTATAGCCAGTCTAACTGGAGTGAGATGATACCTCAGTGTGGTTTTAATTTGCGTTTCCCTGATGACTAGTGATGTTGAGCACTCTTTCATGTACCTGTTGGCCATTTGTATATCTTCCTTTGAAAAATGTCTATTCAGCTCCTTTGCCCATTTTTTAATTGGGTTATTTGTTTTTTTGCTGTGTAATTGCTTGAGTTCCTTGTTTATTATGGGTGTTAATCCCTTGTTGGATGCATAGTTAGCAAAAATTTTCTCCTACTCTGTAGGTTGTCATTTTACTCTGTTTATTGTTTCCTTTGCTGTGCAGAAGCTTTTTAGTTTGATATAGTCCCATTTGTTTATTTTTTCTTTTGTTGCTCATGCTTTCAGGCTCATGTTGACAAAGTCTGTGCCCAGACCTAGTTCCTGAAGTGTTTCACCTATATTTTCCCTTAGGAATTTTACAGTTTCAGGTCTTATACTTAAGTCCTTAATCCATTTTGAGTTGATTTTAGTATATGGTGAGAGGTGCATGTCTAGTTTCATTCTTCTGCATATGGATATCCAATTTCGCCAGCATCACTTGTTGAAGAGGCAGTCTTTTCCCCAATGTATGTTTTTGTTCCCTTTGTCAAATATCAGATGGCTGTAAGGCTGAGGAGTGATTTCTGGGTTCTCTATTCTGCTCCACTGGTCTGAGTGTCTATTTCTATGCCAGTACCATGCCATTTGGTTACTATAGCTTTGTAGTATAATTTGAAGTCAGGTAGTGTTATGCCTACAGCTTTATTTTTTTTTTTTGCTCAGGATTGATTTGGCTATTTGGGGTCTTTTGTTGTTCCATATGAATGTTGAGATTGTTTTTTCCATTTCTGTGATGAATGTCATTGGAATTTTGATGGGGATTTCATTGAATCTGTAGATTT